TTGCCCTCTGCTGCAGGGGAAGCTGTGCCTAGACCACCTCCTCCACTTTCTCTCAGTCCCAGGTAACCTTGTTTTTGCAGCCACGGAGGTGCAAAACTCTAAGAGACACTCTGAATAGACTAGACATAGACATCAGATCTCTTTCAGTGTACTGACAGTCACTGTTTACATCTCTAGGGGTATGCTCAATGAAATGGAGCCAGAAAGCCCACAGATGTACGAAGCCATGTACAACATCCAAGCCCAGGCCCTTACTGCCTCTGGACCACATCAGGCCAGAGACTCGGGTACTGTGATATTTAAAGCTCTTCATCTTCATATAGGTAGTCTGCTAGTATATTCTAAACTGTGTAATATTGTATTTCTTTCATTGTTTAGATTATTCTGAATTGCCTCCTTTGACCTGCTCTAACGGCCCAAGGGATCCTGTTGGTGCATGTGGTGAGGAGGAGGAGGAGAACAGCTATGACTATCCCAAGCCCCATATACCCACCAACCTCGCCCGACGCACGCTTTCAGATGTTAACCCTACATCTTCAGCCTTCAGCCGCCTTTCCATAGACAGCGAGCTCAGAGCGGCAGCAAGTAAGTCATACCGAGTGTTATTTTAGTATTATACTATTATTTATTATTTTTATATATTTTTTAAATACAAAATAACTAGTATATAATAGTTTTATATAAATTCATATACTAGTTTTTATAGTATTTTGTATTAGCTTTTATCTTTATATTTTCAGTTTTCATTTTTATTTTAGTTAAAAGTTTAGTAAATTTGTAATGTTCTATTGTCATTTTTATTAGTTTTTGCTTTTTATAAATATTGACGTATTTTGAATTTTTTTTACTGAAACTATTAAAGTTAGTTATTTTAGTACTTCGACTTATTTCGATTAGTTGCAGAGGCAACATTTCAAAATTTTCAGTTTTTCATGTAATATAGTAATCTAATATTTATATTTTATTTTATATAACTCATCAACAGCTTCAAGCACTCAAGCATCTTTTAATATAAAAAGATTTTTTAGATGAGGAAACAGTCAGTTAAGTGTGTCCAATCTTTTGATTTCTATTGTAATCAGCATTTTAAGATATATTTACAGAGCAAATATAGCACTTGCTTTTTCCTTTTTCCACCTATATTTATTTTAGATCAAATTTCAATCCCAAGAGAGTGTCATGGCTTCCTTATTTTAGAACAGCAACTGCAGTATGATCACTATCTCAGACTTCAGTGTCTATATATTGACAATTTTTATTCTACATTGTGTCTTCAGCAGTCATGGACCCCACTGAAGCCCCCGAGCGGCCTCCTAAGCCTCTTCCCCGTCGCATCAACTCAGATCGCAGGCCCAGCCCGGTTCCCCCCGGAGCGAGCCCAGGGCCCAGCCAGCAGATCAGCAGCGAGATCGAGCACCTCTTGAGCCAAGGCTACTCCCATCAGGACATCCAAAAAGCCCTTATGATTGCACAGAATAATATTGAGATGGCCAAGAACATCCTGAGGGAGTTTGTGTCCATCCCTTCAACTGCACATATCTTAACATAACGAAACTTCTCTGAGCATCCAGTTGCGGCCTGGCCACGCTCGTCTCGCATTCGTCTCAGACTCCAGAAGAAAGGAGCGTGAACCTGCGCTCTAGTGATGGCGAGAGACACTTTCTCCGTAAAACACTTCTCGGATTCTCTGTCCTCCTTCGTACGTGCGGAAGAACTAGGGGTTTGTTGCGCTTCTTCAGCCTGAAGGCAACGCATGTCCCCTAAGGACAAAAACAAAAAAAAACTAAAACATGTATGCGTTTATATTTGATTTAATATATAAATCAGAAATTTGAGTATAGTTAATATATACACATGTATGTTGGAGAGGTTCAGCTGCAGAGATCAGGGTGTGTGAAGTATTAGGCCTCAGAGTTCGGATAGCTAAAGGGAGTTGAACAGGAGACTGCAGCCGAGCATGTTCTGGTGTGAAAAATGGCCTTTACTTGTGTTGCTTCGGTACATTTTGTTTTCAAGTGTGTGATTTTCATTTTTCGTCTGTCTAGTAGCATGCCGTACATGTCGGTCCCCACAGCGTAGTCACCCGTTTCAAAAATACTGCTCAGCCCCAAAGCAACCTGTTCTCCGCTTGACCTTGACCTCCAGGGTACTGTGGGAATTTTATGTTTTAAGCGCATAGTGGTGGCTGGCATCGGAAATGGGCTCTCCGTCAGCCTTGTTAAATCTGTGTAGCATTACTGTAACTGTACTGTACCATGAATTCACTTCCAAAATGTTTAAGGACAGCCAGTCCTTCAAATTCACTGTAGGAACATGCTGATGAAGGGTACACGCATCTGATGTCAGGGGACATGTAATTTGTTTGCTCTAATCTGAATGTGTCATTAATATGGTGGTCTCCGACTTTTGTGAAGTAGTGTGTTTACTAAAGGTAGTGTTCTCTAACAGATAAAGGGCAAAAGGTTGGACACGAAGTGAAACTGCTTAGTGTAAAAAAAAAAAAAATTTTTTTTTAAATAAAAAGTATTCGCTTAAAGGGGTCCAGGGCCTGGCCAAGTTTCTGCATTCGGTGGGGACTGAAATCACTCTTGGGGAGGTTCGGACTCTTGTATGAAGCTGTTCATCTTAGAAACCATTTCATTTGATCACCTTAATATGTTGTTGTTATTAATGTTATTATTATTTTTTGATTTATTGTTATTAATACAGAAGTGCTTTACTGCTGCTATTATTGTTAGTGCTAAACAATTAAGCCTTAAATGTACATTTGTGAATACTGTTTTTAACCCATTTTAAAGTGACAGTATCGGTTGTGTGTAATTTGGTGATGTAGCATACTTGAAATCAGAAGCAACTTGTGCAGGTGTGAGCCCAGCTGATTTGTTCTGCGTGTGTTTGTGTGTGTGCACATGGGATGTTTTGTTTTCATCCAGGTACGTTGCGGTTTGCTTGAAATACATAGGTTTGCGTTTATCTAAATGGTGATATGCGTCACGGGGCTCATCGCAGAAGGCTTTATTTCTGTGTTTAGCCTGTCACCAATTGGATCGATCTTTCAGTGACAGCCCTGTTCAAGCCATGATCGCAGTGCCCATAGTCCGCCTGCTGTTAGGGAGAAGGTTCTTCCCAATCTCCCCTTTGTTCTCAGGAATACCGTACATTTCAACAGAATCTACATTAGTGACTCCATACTTTAAACCAGTGCAAGACGGTCTCATTTTCAGGGTGAACACAATGCTTTGACTACTTTAAAGTAGCTCTCAATGACATCAGCAACAAATGTATTAATTCTGTGTTTCTTAAAGGGACAGTTCACAAAAAAAAACTAAATTGTGTCATTATTTACTCGCCCTCATGTCCTTCCAAACCTGTAAGTTTTTTTTTTTTTGTCCATACAGTGAATATCAATGGGGTCCAAAACGAAATTGGTCCTCATTGACTTCCATTGTATGCATAAAATTTGTGATTCACAAATGAAAGTTAGTCATAAAGCTTTGGAACGACACGAGTTAAGTTAATAAATTATGCCGTTTTAATTTTTGGGTGAACTATGACTTTAATATTTCCAGTTATTGCACCAGCACATTTGAATGCACTAGTAATACATTAAAGTGAGTTTGAGTCTCTCATGTGGCACTCGAGGACTCGTGATTGATGTCGCCGACGTCAAAACTGGCCCAATTTTAGTCCCTACTAGCCCCTAGTGTTCTTGAGCATGTTTCACTGGGGTTGCAGGTACTTCCCCGTCTCAATCTAAGGTACACATGCAACCTTGAGAGCTTATGATCAGGCAAGCTGTTAATTTGAAGTTGTAGGCTGTTAACTCTTGATTTGTAGATTCTGTTGCCTTGAAGCAAATGATGGTTTAGTACTGAATTTTATTTTTTTTTTACTGCACCATATGAAGTCTAGAGATTAGAAGGTGAATATTTTTTTTTAATCATTTCATTTTACTGTACTACTATTTCTTGATGATGGTGTGTGTACAATATTTGGCACAGTGTACCAAATAGTGCTATGATACTGTCACTTTAAAATCAAGCGTGTAAAATTACTTATACATAGAGTACGTGGAAATGGCAATGTTTTATTTCATTTTTGCATTCCTGTACATGTCAGAAATGTATTTTTGTTTACTGATGTGACTATTACTGTGAGCAGTGCCATATGTTTAGATATGACCGTAAATTTGTTCTGCAACCCGGAAAAAAGGCCTTGTTTAGTGTAAAGAGTGAATGATTTCCCTCATGAATTTTTTGAAAACGTTTCCATTGTCGCTCAACGCTTCTTTGGCTTGGTCAGTGAACATCATAGTGAATATCTGTCTGTTTACTGGAATGTCTCGAATCAAACCACAAGAGGAAGCTCGCTCCTCATTTTGCCATAACTAGTATTTCAGGGTTTCTTTCTTTTGTGCTAATTCTCATATCACTTTGGAAGTATGCACAACGCTATACTGTTAATTAAAACAATAGAACAATCATCGTGGCCACAGTGTCTGTCTTAAGGCTTCAGATGTTAGCTTTTTTTTTTTTTTTTTTCAGTAAAACGACACGCATACACTAACTGATATACTAGTTATTAACATTTGACTGGCAGTAAAGTTCAAGTACTGAAACTTGACCAGAGCACCTTTCTGGAAGTCTGGTATAGCCTAACCTTTTATAGAAACACTTACTTCTGTGTGACTCTCGTGTTACCATGAATACACTGAGCTGTATATAATTTTTTTCTAGTTCGTTAGTTTATTTATTAGTACCTACACATTCTAACATTAAAAGCCTTAAATATCTTTTTTTCCATTTTAACTTCAAACCAACATTTCAAACTTTTGTGTAGAACAGCTGTTTCAGCTGAACATAAATACAGTATGATCCCACATTTGAAGTGGATCAGAGAAGAACGGTTATTGTTTTGGTTTTAGAGCAACTTTGATGAAAGGTTTTGATCCACTTCGAATGCTGACTACTGTAGGCCAAACAGTGACAAAATTAAGGCTTGAGTAAACCAGCCCTTTTTAATAGAAATACCAGGACAATTCAAAAACAAGCATAAACAAAAATACCACTGACACAAAACAAAAACAGTGTAACAAACCAGAGGAAATGAAACGAGTGAACGTCAGTGTAATAAGAAATGTAGTATCCGTCTGTCTGGGTCTGCTTTGCTTACAGTACAGGGTACATACTGCATAGATTAGGATACAACTTATAAACCTTCAAAATATGGTTTAAAAAAAGTATAAAAATAGCACCTGAATTTTTTTTGTCCTGTTCTACTGTCCCTCCAACGTGTTAAATGAATGCAGACTTCCACATGCATTTTAATATTCCCTCTAAAATGTAACAATGGGAGGGGTTGGTCATGTACCTCTTTATTATTTACATTCAGTGCATGATGAGGACAGCAGGTAACGGCAGTTTAAAAAAAAATACAGCTGAGCTCTACAGGACACTTCCTCTCAGGCTAGAGGGACATTTTTAGCTCAAACTTTGACGTGAATGTAACTCAATCACTCGGCCCTCGCAGTGAACATAAGGAACTTAATTTGATATAGCTAAAAAAAATAAAGATAAAAACACAGAGGCATGACATGATCCTAACATTTTGCTTACATATAGTATTTGGATAAAAGGTCAACCATGTCAGAGACTTTCCCTGACAAATGATTTGTATAGAAAATGCCCTCAAGCTTTATCATTGGGCAGTTTCAGCGCTGATCCAGGGGACAGATGAATGTTTCCAGTGGTAAAGATGGTTCAGTGCATGTACTTTCTATTGTGGCAGAGGTGAGAGCAGGTTCAAATAAGACACATTGACAGCACATTGCAAATAATGAGTCTTCGGCACTCTACAAATGCCCCTCAACAAAGGGACTTGCATTATCGAAAAGATACTCAAGCGCAACCTTTTAAATGTCTCAGGCATTTTAAATAGCTAAATATATACAGTATTCCATATTTATATACAATTTGTAAATATTGGAGTGGAGTCATCCATAGTGAACTTGTTGCTTTTTGGATCATCTTACTGTATATTGAATCAGAATATATCAGGTCAAATATAAAACATGGGCAGAAAAAAAAATGAGTGTGAATTCAAGTGGCCGTTTTTGGGGAAGATGTGGACGTGTTGTGAGGTCTTTGAGCACTCCGAGTGGGATTCACCCTGAGACGGAGCACTGTAGGACAAAGGCTGCTAGTGTCTCTCCACATGTGCATGTTGTTTTCAGTCTTTGACTCTAATTGAAAGAAAATATCATCAGGTTTCCGTGGCACGGTAAGTGTCAGCCTTACAAATCTTGTTTAAGATTGGATTTGAGTTCAGTGAACTGTAGAAGAGCTAATAATGTGATTCTTTGTTCAGAAGTAATGACCTATTCAGTGGGGGACGTTTTGTCTCCGTTGACTTGTAGAAGCACCGCCTCTTCCGATTTACCGCTTTTCATCTCCATCACAATATCATCCTTACTGGCCTTTTCCTTTGTGCTGGAGAATGAAAACAACACATGGTATTAATGCTTTGTTTCATGATGATGTATTGAAAAATCTATTCAGACACATATTTAGTGTGAACTGAATGGATTCTAGAACTACTTTAAGATTATTTTGCTCTAATTTTAAGGTACAGTGTTATTTTATTATTATTTATATGCTATTTTAGTATTTATTCATGTTGAATTTGCTTTTATTTTTGTTTTATTTTAAGGTTTTAGTCATTTTGTTGTCTTTAAACTAATAAAATTGATAACAACATTTCTATTTAGCTTTAATGTATTTTAGTTTTAGGGATTTTAGTTTGTTTTAATAAAAAAACTACTAATAATAAAACTAATAATTAACTAAAAAAAACGAACAATTTAGCTATTAAGCTTTAATGTACTTTAATTTTAGTTCCAGTCATTTTAACTTTACTCATTAATAAAAAAAACTAATAAAAATGACCAAAACATTCTAGTTTTAGTTTGTCATTTTAGAACAACTTAAAAATGGGAAATGTGAAAACAAGTTTGCTTTTTAAGTTTTTCCATCTAATATTTTATTTTAGCTTAACAAAAAAATTACTTGTAACAGTTTAATCGTTTTACTAACAATAACAACACTGATTTAAAGGTGCAGTGTGTAATTTTTACAGCGCCAAATAACAAATGAACCTACAAATTGCATATTTCTTATAAACCTGCCTTTGCAAATATTCTTATTAATTGCTTTTCCTAATGTTTTCTATAAATGAATATGGGACAGAAGTAATCATGGGGTGAACTATTCATTTAATGTTAATTATGTCTATGTTAATTATACTTATTTTATTATATTCAAATCATATGTATTTTTTCATAAACCAAAACATACAAATCCTGCTTTCCCGACCGTCCACAGGGCAGCTTTCCTTTCTTGTAGAGGAAGTAGAGCACGCTGCCCAGTATGGCTATGAGGAGGAGGCAGATGATGATGACTGCTATGATGACTCCGCTGCCACCTCCTGCAGTAAGAGCAGAAAAGCAGGCTGAAGTTAGTACACTGACCAATGAAGGAAAAGCTCACACCTAAAGTAAAGCCTGAAAGACATACTTCAGGTGAATGTTTCCTATATGTCTGACTGAATTATACAAAGCCTTTTCTATAACAATTCATTTCCAAAAGGGCTGTCAGTAAAGTGCATTCTGAGTGCCGAGTGAAGAAAAGCAGTGATGATGCATGACTCGTTGTAGGGGCAATGATATAGAAAGCAAAGTATTCTGGAATCATTCATTCCAGAAAGATGGTCACAGTTCAGTTAAAGTGAAGCTTAGCATAAGAAATGATGGTTTTTACACAGCCTGAGTAAGGGCTGGCGGTGATGGTGGAGGATGAGTGGTCAGGCTGCTGTTGGTCTCACAATACAAACCTGTACGTGGTTGTTTTGGTGGAATGGTTAATCCTGTTCCTGTGATGACAAGGGTTTGAGTTACCAAACAGCAGTTATATTCACTTCAGTTATATATATCACTTTATCTCACATAGTGCTTTTCTTTAGTTAATCTTGGGAACTGCTGTCCCAGAATCTGTGAGGAAGTTATTGGCATAACTTAGACATTTTAGCGTCTTGTCTCCACTTTTTGTAAGAGCAGGGGGGTTAAACTGTGGTGTAGGGATCTTAAGGGAGTGCTATAGAAAATTTTAAAGAAAAATATTACAAAATGTATTTTTAAAAGAAAGTAGTAAATGAAAATCAAATCTGGATACAGTTTTGTGGGGGGGAAAGTGTGTTTTCATTTCATTGCCCTTAGCTTGTTCACTAATTGTAGGGCACTATTCTTTCTTTTTTTTTTAATGAATGGAATATATATACATACATACATACATACATACATACATACATACATATATATATTACAATTTGTTAATACTATTATTATTTCATATGTAGTGTTATTAAATTTTTTAATGAATTTTATATATACCAAAATACAAATGAAAATAATTTAAAAATCAATATTATAAATAAAAATAATATAATTTTCCAAATAAGTTACTTTAATTTCTTCAAGCTTTAGTACAATAGCAAATACAATACAAATACAAAGTCAATTATTCTGTAATTTGGGGTAGGATTTAAAAAAAAATAATATTTAATTATTAATTTAGAAATAAAAATAATTATAACTATAATAATATAAATAATATTTATATTAATTATAATATGAAAATATATTATTGTAATTAAAAATAGTAATAATATTTTAAAATAGTTCATGTTTGTATCAAGTCAATTATTTAATTAAAATGAAAACATAATGCTACTATATTTTGACAGACACATTCCTTGCTATTAACTTGTTGCGTTGTGTCTGGTTAGAACATGATGCTGTAAGAAACCGCTGACACTGAGACGAGCTAAATTTGCTCTTATAACTCCTCTTATAATTTTCCTGACTACAGCCATAAACAGTATCAGAAATAAGAGCTCTGAGGACCGCCATAATAAGGAACAGAAAGGTCATGATATCCCAAAGTAAGAGTGGCTGCTTTGCCCAATTGTCCCTGATGCCAAGCGCTCTGGTCCCATGAGGTCACAGGCAGTCAGCCAGGCCTGATGTGAAGCCTGCCTTTGAACTAATGAGAGTCCAGAGACCACATGAGAGCATTTTCACCATCAACCGCTGCCTTCTCTTACAGTCAAGCTGCTTTGTGTTTAAACACACACTGCTTTTGACTGCACCTCCAGAATAAATATACAATGCCACGTCAGCCCTCTCAAGATGACTGGGTTTCTATGGCACAGACCCTAAAGCAAAGAAAATATATTTCCTTATATATGAATGATCAATATATGAAATGATTTAACGGTATATTGGAAATATACAGAATAATATATTGTGTTAATATATTACAATATATTGAATAATACATACGGAATTGCTTTCATATAAGGAAAAATATGTGACAATATATTTAATCATATATTATAATATATGTAATTTTATATTCAGTAATAGACTTCATAACATATAGATGTACATGTGATAAGACATGGTACTGCATGTGTAAAAATATATTACACATATATTTACTCATGCAGTATATACACACATATATAACATATTTCTCATATTTTATAATTATTTACATTATATGTTTCATATTTCCATATACAGCTAGTTAACAACAGCACAGGCACACCTGCAAGTATTTGGCAAGTATTTCGTATTTAAAGAGTCTATGGGCATGCTGAAGAGTGCACAACTATTACTTTTTAAATAAAGTAATATAGTCTTATTGGTATTCACCAGTCATCAACCTAAACAGAGGCTCAACTCTTCAGCACAGTGGTAACCCCAAAAACTCAGACATACCAGAAACCCTTTTAAATTCCAAAATAATAGAACATTAAACACTAACTAACTATCTCCCCCTATATTAACATTGAGCAAAACACATGATATAAAACTTAATTTTAAGATTTACTCTCCTTTAACAGTCAGAAGCAAAGCATGCTGGGAACTAGAAATCTGCTGTAACATTCTGTGAATGTGTGTGTGTACATTCACATTCTGGGAACATGTATGTGCAATATATGTGCACAATAAAGGATAAAACTTTATGAATATTGCATGTAATGCTATTTTTGTCTTCATTTCTAAATATTTTTATATGTATAAATATAGCCATACATGGTCAATGCACGTATTGCAGTATATAAAAAAATATAAGCATCAGTTTACCAAATATAGAAATGTATTTTGTAATATATCACATTATATTTTGCAGTATATTCCCATATATTTGTCTTCCATAAGTGCGACACTGCTTTCTGTCATCAAATCTCAATCATGTGTTCTGTTACAGTGAAAATACAGTGATTCGCTGGAAAAACAGTCACTCGCCGCATTGAAGTAAAAAATATACAAGTATCTCAAAGTATTTTTAAGTGAAAGCTTCAGAAACATACCTTTAGTGCTGGTGGCTTGGGTTGTAGTTGTTGTCACACGTGCAACTACACAAGAAAAATTGGTATAGAATAAGATTGTATTTGTTTGCACAATTTAACTGTATCAAGTTAACATGAACTGACAATGAACAACACTTTTATAGAACGTATTAGTTATGGTTAATGTTCATTTATATACTAATACATTAAAAGAACTAATAGTTTAATAGCATATTATAATTAAAATAACATGAATTAAAATATTAAATAATATACGTCTTGGTTCAAAAAAATGCTTTTTCACTTTTTCAACTTTAGTTAGTCTGTAATGTTGTAATGTTAAAGTCCACTTCAAAAGGAGATATTTTATTTAACAGAAATCACTTTTCAAAAGTGTAGTTTGGACTACAACGCATATTTTCCGGGATTTGTGATATCACAAATATCGACGAATGGGACGAGACCTGGTTGAGCTGCACTAGAGAAGGCAACGAGTGTTATCACTATGCTGGAGACACGCTAGCTGTCCCAAGGCAGACGAACTTAGAGTGGTTACAATCATCCGGATTTAAATCGCGCTGAAATTGATTTGATTTTGACGCAATATTTACACTGAAGCTCACAGCAGGCGGCTATGGTAAGGGGAATGACATTTCCCGACCAGGTGCCGAGTGCTGCCAATCACAACACACACTGGCCCAGCTAACCAATCACAACACATTTCGTATTTCAGAAGGCGGGCCTTCATTTGATACAGGAACTATTCGAGCCGTTCATGCCAGACTGGGGAGAGAGGTGTTGTAATAATGTAAAATATGTGAAAAATAATGTGTTTTTCGAACAACCTAGTATGAGAGCCTGTTCTAGTACACCCCCAAAACAAAATCAAGACTTTGTAAAAGAGCATAATAGGATCCCTTTAATGAGCTAACAATTAACAATGATAATTGGTTAATTTGTACACTACCATTCAAAAGTTTGTGGTCAGTGAGATTTTTTTTTTAAAGAATTTAAAACAAAGAATTGCATAAAAGTGAAACTAAAGACATTTATGCAAAAGTTACAAAAGATTTCTATTTCAAATAAATGCTGCTCTTTTGAACTTTCTATTCATTAAAGAATCCTAAAAACACATCCTGAATAATTTTTTGGTGGAAATAACATTTTCCACAAATATTTTAAGCAGCACAACTGTTTTCAACTCATAATAATAAGAAATGTTTATTGAGCACCAATTTAGCAATTACAATGATTTCTGAAGGATCATGTGACATTGAAGACTGGCTGCTGAAAATTCAGCTTTGCCATCACAGGAATAAATTACATTTTCAAATATATTAAAATGGAAAACAATTATTTTAATATAAATATAATATAATTAATATGTATAATTATATTATATTTATATAATAATAATTAATATTAATATAATCATATTTTATAAAAGACTGTCAAAATATTGATCAAATTAATTAACTTAATTTATACTTAATTAACTAATTATATTTAAAAAATTGTTACTCCATGATACCAACAGTGCTGGTTAGATTACTACAAATTGTTGTCCATTACAGATTACAGATTACATAATGAAAACTGTAGTTAGAAACGTAATCTTCGTTACTCATTTTAGGTAATGTATTCTGACTACTTTTAGATTACTTTTTACCTAACTTGGTTTAAACTTACCATTAAATGTACCATATTGATATAAAAAAGCAAAGAGAAAGAAAATATATTACATTATTTGATATCAATATCAATATGATGAAGTGGATTAAACATTACATTTTGCCAGGGTTTCCCAAACTGGGGTTAATATAAGAACTGCAGTGGGTTTGTTGACAAAAAGCTGATAATTGGTTCAATCTTAAAAAATGTATAATGAAATACAGGTGCATCTCAATAAATTAGAATGTCGTGGAAAATTCATTTATTTCAGTAATTCAACTCAAATTGTGAAACTCGTGTATTAAATAAATTCAGTGCACACAGACTGAAGTAGTTTAAGTCTTTGGTTCTTTTAATTGTGATGATTTTGGCTCACATTTAACAAAAACCCACCAATTCACTATCTCAACAAATTAGAATATGGTGACATGCCAATCAGCTAATCAACTCAAAACGCCTGCAAAGGTTTCCTGAGCCTTCAAAATGGTCTCTCAGTTTGGTTCACTAGGCATTTCATTGTTTACCTTTGACCATTAACCAATATCAGAGAATTGTGAACTTCTTACAGTCTGAAAATAAAAACTCACATGCTTCAATCTTGCGAGAAACATTTACTGTCCCAAACTCATTGGCAGCGCTGCAATTGGCTGTGAGTTTAGACACGGCCCTCACAGAGATCATGCTGAGAACACCAGTGTCCGTCTTCTGGTTCTCCACTTCTGGCACAGGGACAGGCTGCCCAGTCTATATATATTTTGTCATGGTAATATCAGTTTTCAAAAAGGCCATAAAACTGACTGGATTCCATTAATCTAGAATAATGTAACTCACAACTGCACATCATGATTTACCCAAGAGGTTTCTTGAATTACAATCATCTTTGCAACATTCTTATCAAACGACAGTCCTGACCCTCTATACAACCATAAACTACCCATTAAATTACTACCAAAATATCTTTGTAACTGTGTGATGGTTCCTGATTGGTCAGGATCAGAGTGATATAAGGATACCCATTGGTCAGAGAGGGTCCAGGTGATGGTGGGGAATGGGTAGCCTTCTGCATAGCAGGTCAGGTTAACGGAGCGGTCAGCCATGTTCACTGGACCCACCGCTATCTCCTCTGTGATCTTAGGCTTCCCTAAAGCAGGTTTAGATGTTTAGTCATGAAGACACTTTTTTTGTTTTTCTATAATATTGGTGATGTTTTATATGTGAGCTAATATTTTCAGACTTTAATTAAGATATTATTTAGTTTGTTTTTTAATCTAAACCAGGTTTTACTTTCCCTGTATGGACAGTCGGTCCTCACAATGTAGGTAAAGACTCACCTCGCACACTGATTTGCACAGACTTTTGTTCTCGTAGCTCAGGCAGGGAAGGGACTGTCACTTCACACATATACATCCCAGCAGTGTCATAGGAGGCATTGTTTAATTCCAAAACATGCCTCTCCACCAGCCGCATGCCATCCTGCAGTGAAACACACCGTCAAATAGGTCCATTTGCATTCTTGAGCATTTCAAGAGAACTGTTTATCAAGCAGATTAATTCTATTCATGTTGGATATTATTTATATGTTGGAGTTTTGATATGGGCCTTGGTCTTGAGCTCTTTTGAGACCACATAAACGTGGTATTGGTCTATATTTGGGACTTATTACTTAAAATCTGGGGTTTAAAACTCTTGATCTGGGTCTCAGGTTATTGATCTCTAACTATTGATCTAAGAACATAGTCTAACATTTCCTTTCAAAGGTTTAGGGCCAGTACAATTTTTAAGAAATCTATACTTTCAAAGCAAAGACCCATAAATGTATCACAACATTTATAATGATACAAAAGATTTCCATGTCAAATAAATGCTGTTCTTTTCAACTTCCTAATTATCAAAGAATCCTGAACAAAAGTATCAGTTTCCACAAAAATATCAAGCATCACAATTGTTATAAACATTGATAATAATAAGGAATGTTCTTTGAGCAGCAAATCAGCATATTAGAATGATTTCTGAAGGATCATGTGACACTGAAGACAGAAGTAATTTCTTCTGAAAATGTATATTTCACAATATTACTGTTTTTACTGTATTTTTGATCAAATAAATACAGCCTTGGTGAGCATAAGAGACATTACTAACCCATACGGCAAAAAAAAAAGTATTTATAAACAAAATATATTTTAAATATATGCTAACTATATGTTGCAAACAGAGAATGAAATATAATATGAAATATATGTTTGAAATTGAAATATATTTAGTTCCCACCTTCATATACCAAACTATATCTCAAAATGTATTTTAGGGCCAGGAAAATAAAATAAAATGTAAATGTGGATGGAACAGCCTGCTAGACATCAAAACTAGATTTACAATGATTTTTTAATAATATTTATTATTGATTATTTATTTATATATTTATTGGAACATTGTAAAGTTCCTTGCTGAATTTTATTAAAATGTGGTATATGTTTACATGTGCTATAGATAACAAATAAGGTTTTTCTTCAGATTTCGCATATGTGAATGTATTTTATTGAATTGAAATATACAGAGGGCAAAATATATTTTTAAATGCTTAAATATATATATATATATATATATTTATTTTTTTTTTATACAAAAATGTCCATAAATATATAGATATATACAAATATATTTACATAGATATATTTTTAAAAATATTTAGCAAAAACAACTTTTGCCCAGTTCTTTGTATATTTTGAAATACATTTTAAAATATATTTTCATTAATTCATTATACTTAAGTTTATTTTAGCCAATAGGAAACGTGATAACCTCAACTACAGGTCAGAGTGGTGTCATCATCAGTTTTGACTGCATCTTATTGTTGTACCTTATACCATGCTGTCTGTGTGGGTAAAGAAGACAAGGCGTTGCAGGTTAAGGTGAGATCTTCCCCCTGGTCCAGAACTGTCTCCTCTGGTGTCACCACAATATGATCCAGATCTAAGAAAGAAAGAAAAAAGGTGTTTAGTCACCATGAAGATGAAAGCTGACATCATCTGCCACGGCACAGGAACTGCAGAGGAACATGCTCTTACAGTGCACTGTCATATTGATGGAGTCCTCAGCGACAGTGTTTGTGTCAAAGTCAATTGACTGGCACACATACGTCCCGCTGCTTGATCGCTTGACATTTTCCAGAAGCAGCATTTCCTCATTTGAGCTCAACTCATTCTGGAAAAAAAATGAGAATAATTAGAACCGCAGGTAATCCAATGAATTTTTTTCACATGTTCAGAGATTTCAGAACAGCTGCCATTCAATCCAAGTTCATTTGCAAAGCGCTTTTTACAATACATATTGTTTCAAACCAGCTTTACAGAAAATGTTACAATCAGAAAGTATTCTGTTATCAGTCAGAGATGAGTGTGTCAAAGTAATGTCCATATGGCTAATAATATACACCTATAAGATAATATTAGTTATGTGATTAGTAAACATCATGTATTGAGTTAAGCAGACATAATGAACATGTTAGGCAGTGATTTCAGCTATATTACCCCATTATGTGTGAAATCAAAAAAGGGCTGAGGTTTTCCATTTCCCTCACATCGGATCTCCACAGTGTCGCCTTCTTTTATAAGCCTATCAGGTGGATTTACGGACATTGTTACTTCTGTCGTAGGGTCTGAAAATGAAATGAAATGGTAAGACACTGTTATGCTTTGTGGATCCAACAGATGGCAGCACGGAGCACTGTACACTCAAAAATCGATCAATCCACAGAAGAAAGTCAGTCATAGAGGTTTGGATGACACGAGAAAGAGAAAATGAAGACTATTTTCATTTTTTGGGGTTAATAGTAAATGTAGGCTAAAAGGATGTTGACTCACAGTAAACTGTGATGTTGATTTTTTTGGACTCTGTCATTCTAACTCCACCAGGGACAAAGTACTTGACCTCGCAGTAGAAAAGGGCATCTTCATCTGTCCTCTTAACCTTAATGTACAGTTCACTGTCGACTGTTAACAGGCTGTTGGGTTTGGTTGTCACTGACTCCATGGTCTTTACCTCTAAAGGGGATGCAGATGTTTTTTGTCATTGTCAAATAAAATTACATTTCGTTTTGGAGAATGTTCACATAATGGTCCTGTATTACCACCATCTGATTGCTGGAGAGGAAATCTGTCCTTGTACCATGTGATGTTGGGTCTGGGATATCCGTCGTCCACTTTACAGTGTGCAACCTGAGTGAAAACCCCATAATTATGCAAAGTTCATAAAATGTACATAAACTGATAGGGTTTTTGGAACTCTACCTTTGATGGCTCCTCCACAGTAACAGAAATCCCTGTGTGCATACCTTCAATCACAGGTAGAGATGGTGAGTCTAAAGGACAGAGAGGTTTGGTGTTAGGATGAAGCTTGGAATACTGTAAGTCATTTCATTATGATCCCCCAGCCTGGACAGGCTCTTCTAAAACAGGTGGGACAAGTCTGTTTTGTCTTACTGAATATTTGGAGACGAGTGTGTCCTTCAGCGCTGTCTGTCGACACATTAAGCACAGTGCAGATGAACTCCCTCTGGTCACTCAGTTGCACATTGTCGATGATCAGAATGGCACTTCCGCGTGCATTCTGTGGTTCATGGGAGTGTGTGACTTTGATCCGCCCGGCGTATTCACTGCCCTCTTCAATGATCTCATTCTGATCATCATAGTAGTAGATTCTTCTCCTGCTTTGGTCCCTGCCTGGCCATTTCTGTACAAAGTCAAAAATGCTGATGTTCAGATTTCAACATTTATTGTAAGACTAGATTTGAAAACTAGCCTTCAAAGGTATGGGGATGTTGAGATTTTTTTAAAGAAATTAATACTTTCATTCAGTAAGGTTGCAATTAATTTATCAAAAGTGACCGTTAAAAACATTTACAGTATATTAGAACAGGTTTATATTTCAAAAGAAATGCTGTTTTTAACTTAAACTTACTAAAAAAGTAGTTTCTTGAGCATCAAATCAGCATATTAGAATGATTTCTGAAGAATCACGAGACACTGAAGACTGGAGTAATGATGGCTGAAAATTCAGCTTTACCATCACAGGAATAATTAACATTTTAAAATGTATTAAAATAAAAAAAGTTATTTTAAATTGTAATACTATTTTTCAAAGTTCCGTTTTTTGCTGTATTTTTTTATTAAATACAGTAAACGCAGCCTCTGTGAGTATTAGAGACTTCTTTTTGAAAAAAGGACCCCAAACCTTTGAACGGTAGTGTACATTCTATTGAAATTCTACTGAAAAATTGCCAAAAAATTTACTTACTACTAAACTTACTTTTACTTTTAAAAATCTTAAATCTATTTAAACACTCCTTTCTCCTACTGTAAAGTACTGTAGAAAATATTGTATTTGTAGTAAATATTCTTAATGTAATTATTTTCTATTTATTGTAAATACATATATTTTTTTTAATTAGTAAACTACAATGTACATTGCAGTAATTGTTATACTGATCTTAAGCTAATTTTAATTTAAAATGATAAAGACATTTTATTTGGGCATTAGTTAGAATAACTGGAGGAAATGCACTTAGTTGTTAATCTTTTCTTAATAGCCTTAAAATCTGGTTTATTTTCTTAGCTTCATTTCTTAATTCATCATTTGATTTTAGGGGTAAAATGTAAACCCAGTCATTTCTCATAATAATTACCCATTTAGCTGCTATTTGTGAATGAAAATAATGTAAAGTGTGAATATGCCTGTTTCTCACAGTAAACCAGACTATCATCTTGGCTGGTTCCTTCAGAGTGTAGATACAGGGGATCTCAGCCTGGCCTTTTAAAAATACATCCACCCGGTCTTCCATGCTCACATCCACTATGGCCCATGCTGAAAACACATCAATAAACACAGATTTGTCAATAGACCTCAAATTGATACTGTCAAAGTCAAGTCAAATCTATTGAGTAAAAGGGTCCACATTTGCTGGACAGTTTTTGTGATGCCTATTCCCTAAGCCCCTTCATAATATCCTTTGAATGGAGTGACCCCTTAACAGGAAATAGGGCACGGGAAAGACCACTTCTGATTGGACCGCACCACCCATGTTCCTATGTCAAATACCTGATCTAGTGGGAGCAAAGTACTTGAGTGAGAAGATATTATGAGTGGAATTCACTGAGCCCACCCATGTCCAAATTCATGTGTAGCATTGTCATGTCATGTCTCAGAAGGAAGAAAGACTCAATTTATCTAGAGAATAAGTGACCTACTGTTTGCCAGAAATTAGCTGTTCTCTCCCTTAAAGCATCTTAAAGCTCGCTGAATCAAGAGGAGGCTGAAACTATTCTTCATCCTCAAAAGTCTGATCACTACAAGACACGACAAAAACATCCATCTGCTAGTCATTCTGGCGTGCTGTTTGTTCTATGAGGAAAATAGTTTGCTAACACACTTCACAGAGAGGGTGTATAATCTAGATTCACATTTCCAATTGATTTTGCACCAGTGCTCCTCAGCAACCTTTCAAATATATTGTAAATGGCCTTTCTGGCCTCTATGTGGTCCTGTGGGCACTACAAGGGGATAATTGAGTATGAGGGATGCTTTCACATTACAGAAATCTGATTAGTTTCTCCCAACAAAGGCATTTCCTGTGCATTAGCGGCATTAGCGTAAGACTGACGTTCTCTGTTGTAGCCATCAAACATTCACCTTGTTTACTGAGTTCGAAAGGTAGGACCAAGGTAACTATAATGCCTTGTTTCTGAAGTTAATGTGGTGAAACAAATGATCTTATTTTTTTAACAAAATTAAATAAATCTTTGATTTTGATATTTTTCGTAGTGGTGGTTTAGTTCGCATGCTAATGCTGTTCCCTCTTTTGAGTGTCTCACACCAATAAAATATTATAATAAAATATAATATTATATATTATATAAAATATAATATAACAGGTGTGCTGTTTTGCACATTGCAATTTATACAGTATAGGTTTTAATTATTTCTGTTTCATATACAGTAAATGTTGTTCTTTTGAACTTTCTATTAATCAAAGAATCCTGAAAAACAATGTATCACAGTTTTCACAAAAATACGAAGCAGCACAACTGGTTTCAGCACTGACGATAATAAGATATCTTTCTTGAGCAGAAATTTAGCATATTAGAGTGATTTCTGAAGGATCATGTGACACTGAAGACTGGAGTAATGATGCTGAAAATTCAGCTTTGCATCACAGGAATAAATTACATTTAAAATAAACATGCAAATAGAAAACAGTTATTTTAAATTGTAATAAAAGTTCACAATATTACCCTTTTTACTGTATTTTTTATCAAATAAATGTAGCCTTGGTGAGAATGAGATCATTCTTAAAAAAAAAAAATAAAAAAAAACTTTGGCATGGTATTGTAAATAAAATATTCCAAGATCTGCCTTTCAGCTAAGATTTTCACTTGTCATAATGCAAATCTGTAATCATATGTAAGCATAAACATCCAGAATTGGACATCATTTGACCAGCATTTCCCTTGATTGAACCTCACAGATTACAGAGATTAAATGAAGCAGATAAGAAAGAATAACTGTAAACTCCAATATCTTGCCCAGCTAAGAAAGATCTGCAGACAAATGAAAGTCTGCCAACGTGCCATAGCAGCAACCATGCAGAACTTCAACAAGCTTCAATTATAGTTAAGAGACTCAGACACACAGCATGTCACTCTTTTTAGGCATGGAAAATCTTTCAGACAAAAAAGAATGGCCAAAAAAGGAAGCGAGAGCTTATGTGCCCATGAGCCACTGTTGACAGTTTGGTGTCTCCACAGTCTGGAGTGCAGATAAAAATTATTACGCATGGGTTGTTCTGTGTCATCAGTCTACAGAGTAGGCTTCTAATATAAGCTCTCTTTCAGAGCAGCAGTGCTGGACAAATCCTGGACGTCTGAACAATGAAGCCAAAGTTTTTTCAAGGGTTTCAAACAGAAGACTTTAAGCAGGAAGACACAACTCAAGGTTTACACATTTCCCAGTAAAGCTGTGAGAGATGTCTGCAGTAGCCCCTCACTGCAGAACACAAGATCAAGGGGGCGGGGTTGGATCCACATCTAGGGAGTGGAGACGGGTAGGTTTAGGGGTGGAGATAGGTGGGTTTAGGGTTCAGGGGGTGGAGACGGGTAGGTTTAGGTATATGTAAGGTTGGAGGAGTTGGATCTGGATCCAACCTCGTCCCCTGGATCTTGTGTTCTGCAGTAAGGACCATCTCCATGTCTGAATCCCAGATGAGCCCAATACTAAGCAGCTGTTCTGTCTTTAATCTTTCAGACAAAAAAGAATGGCCAAAAAAGGAAGCGAGAGCTTATGTGCCCATGAGCCACTGTTGACAGTTTGGTGTCTCCACAGTCTGGAGTGCAGATAAAAATTATTACACATGGGTTGTTCTGTGTCATCAGTCTACAGAGTAGGCTTCTAATATAAGCTCTCTTTCAGAGCAGCAGTGCTGGACAAATCCTGGACGTCTGAACAATGAAGCCAAAGTTTTTGCAAGGGTTTCAAACAGAAGACTTTAAGCAGGAAGACACAACTCAAGGTTTACACATTTCCCAGTAAAGCTGTGAGAGATGTCTGCAGTAGCCCCTCACTGCAGAACACAAGATCAAGGGGGCGGGGTTGGATCCACATCTAGGGAGTGGAGACGGGTAGGTTTAGGGGTGGAGATAGGTGGGTTTAGGGTTCAGGGGGTGGAGACGGGTAGGTTTAGGTATATGTAAGGTTGGAGGAGTTGGATCTGGATCCAACCTCGTCCCCTGGATCTTGTGTTCTGCAGTAAGGACCATCTCCATGTCTGAATCCCAGATGAGCCCAATAGTAAGCAGCTGTTCTGTCTTTTTAACCTCACATAAAGTCAACAACAAAAATAGCACATCCTGTGACTGCTGGAGAACAAAAAGGAGCGAGTCTCAAATTAAAGAATTTAATTTAGAATTTAACTTTTCCTCAGACAATATACAGTGGGTACGGAAAGTATTCAGACCCCCTTAAATTTTTCACTCTTTGTTATATTGCAGCCATTTGCTAAAATCATTTAAGTTCATTTTTTTCCTCATTAATGTACACACAGCACACCATATACAGATTTGACAAATTCAGCAATTTTATATGCGGAAACAGTCAATTGTTTGCAGAAATTGAGCAACTTAAGTCCTTTCCCCGTTGAGTCAAACACAGTTTAAATCAGCGCTTCCGTATAGCACGAGCGCCACCTAGTGATTTGGAGATCCCTTGTGTTGCACTAGTGACTAGTCGTTCAAAAGCTGCCAGTAGCCCCTCACTGCAGAACAAAGATCCAGGGGGCGGGGTTGGATCCGCATCTAGGGGGTGGAGATGGTAGGTTTAGGGGTGGAGATGGGTGGGTTTAGGGATCAGGGGGTGGAGACGGGTAGGTTTAGGGGTGGAGATAGGTGGGTTTAGGGTTCAGGGGGTGGAGACGGGTAGGTTTAGGTATATGTAAGGTTGGAGGAGTTGGATCTGGATCCAACCTCGTCCCCTGGATCTTGTGTTCTGCAGTAAGGACCATCTCCATGTCTGAATCCCAGATGAGCCCAATACTAAGCAGCTGTTCTGTCTTTTTAACCTCACACAAAGTCAACAACAAAAATAGCACATCCTGTGACTGCTGGAGAAGAAAAAGGAGCGAGTCTCAAATTAAAGAATTTAATTTAGAATTTAACTTTTCCTCAGACAATATAAATCACCCCATGAAATCTTGACTGCACAGTAGGTGAACAGCTGCCGCCATGAAGTTACAGATGCTAAGAACGTCTTAGCACAATTACACACGTGTGTGTCTGAAATCGATATTGGACACTTCATTGTTCAGCCAGCCTCTTTTCTACTGTTTTTACATTTAGATCTTCTTTGCCATCATCTAAACACTCAATTAAAGTCCATCTTTAAAAACAATAGTAATGTACTACTGTTGAATGTTTACTAAATCTCAAACTGAATATCCTTTTTTCATACTGTACAGTATAATGTTGTGATGCCTGAATTCACTTGTAGCATTTAAAATGATCTTTTTTTTTATATGACATTTTAAAATGGGTAATTTATCAGTTATTGGCCATGGCATAAAAGTAATTTTTGGCTTCGGTATTCTTCATATATCTAATGTGACATCTATCTATGTGCAACATGGGATATTTGAATTTGTCTGACTTTTGTGGCAATTCAACAGTCCAGCATGTATGAGAAGCACACTTACACATTCAAACATGTCATATTCTAGTATGCACCATTCATAATGAGCTGAGGCCTGCAATCTTATAGAAATCTCTATTATAACAGCCTTTGAGGCCAGCCAAGCACAACTGGGCCTAGAAATGGGAAATAACTGGTTGCTTTCTTCCCAAACATTCCATTTTTAACACAGAAAATCTGCCAGGTTGGGATTTAAAAACAATAGTAATGTACTACTGTTGAATGTTTACTAAATCTCAAACTGAATATCCATTTTTCATACTGTACAGTATAATGTTGTGATGCCTGAATTCACTTGTAGCATTTAAAATTATCTTTTTTTTTTATATGACATTTTAAAATGGGTAATTTATCAGTTATTGGCCATGCCATAAAAGTAATTTTTGGCTTCGGTATTCTTCATATATATAATGTGACATCTATCTATGTGCAACATGGGATATTTGAATTTGTCTGACTTTTGTGACAATTCAACAGTCCAGCATGTATGAGAAGCACACTTACACATTCAAACATGTCATATTCTAGTATGCACCACTCATAATGAGCTGAGGTCTGCAATCTTATAGAAATCTCTATTATAACAGCCTTTGAGGCCAGCCAAGCACAACTGGGCCTAGAAATGTAAA